CTGTCCATTTTTTTTAATAAAATTGAATAATTTCTTTATTTCTTTATTAACTGTAACAAAAAAAGTGACAGCACAGAAAATAATTGGGGACAATACAGATCCCATTTTACAGTTTACAGGCAAATGTCACCTTCGTGGAGGGAAATAAAACATGACATACGGGATTCTTAATATTTAGTATATTCCAATTGGAAGCCCAAAAATGGACTTCAAAATAAACATTAGACGTTATAAGGAGTCTTCTGTGTAATAGTCTTGTTTGAATCCTTGCTTTAATGGATTTGGGATGACATAAAATTTGGGTCAAATTGGAAAATAATTGTATGGTCAATCCAATTCCCATATTCAGTGTTTCTAAAAGGCTTCTGGAAGAAAGGATCCAAGGGCTGCCCCAATGGCTGTTTCTGTTCTATGTCTGCCTATGTTGTTACCTGAGCCCCCTGAGCTTGACTGCCAGTGCCACCAGGTCCCCCCCCCCCTTCAATCTCAGTATCTAGAGGCAGAGCTCAGACTGTTTTTTTGCCCCATCATCTCATCAGGCTGCCAGGAACATAATATTTCTGCCCAATTTAGAATCATTTGATGCCTGTAATATGATGATTGGAGCCCGATTCAGGTTCCCTTTGACTGTAATAGGACTTCTGGTTTAGAAATTGTAGAATTCGGAAGTTCATACATTTTTAAAAAGTTTGGGTAAACCACAACTGGTTAAACTCTTCAAACCTCTACTCATGTCTAGTTCACCTCAGTTCAATATTTTGTTATTTAGGCCCTGATGAAGGAGCTGTGTTTTTGGCCCTCAAAAGGCATTGGCTGTTTTATGTTATCGAATTATGGATGATTGAAGCATCTTGGAGTCTCTAATTTTTTGGGGTTTATTTTTTTGTATTTTTCTAGAGTAACACGAGTGTTCTGACTCCACCCAAAAAAACTCACTTTTTTTTTTTTTTGGTTGAAACTCTACTTTAGTTATATAATGAATTACCTGTTGTATATGAAGGTGTAAGGATTGCACATTTAGGTTTGTTAATTGAACTTCTTGATGAGAAAGTTTTTATTATTATTAGAGGCTAAAAAAAATTGTTTAGTTTCAGATCGACTCCAATTTTTGTTTTCGGATTTCGGATATGAAATTCAGTTTGGTTAATTATTCGGAATTCGGATGGCTGCACATTTTTTATTTGCTGTTCAGATTAATTTGTATGGAGTTTTTTAATTAAAAAAATAACTTTTTGTTTTTTTTGGTAATTTTGGTAATAGTCCTCTGGTCCTCTTAGTCTGTACTAGACCTTTTAGTCCATACTGGTCATCTTAGTCCATACTGGTCATCTTAGTCCATACTAGTCCTCTTAGTCCATACTGTTCACCTTAGTCTGTACTGGTCATCTTAGTCCGTACTGGTCATCTTAGTCCGTACTGTTCATCTTAGTCCGTACTGTTCATCTTAGTCCGTACTGTTCATCTTAGTCCGTACTGGTCATCTTAGTCCATACTGGTCATCTTAGTCCATACTGGTCATCTTAGTCCATACTGGTTTATCTTAGATTATGTTGGTCATCTTGGTCTGTACTGGTCATCTTAGTCCCTACTGGTGCTCTTAGTCCGTACTGTTCACCTTAGATCATACTGGTCATCTGTCCTCTTAGTCCGTACTGGTCCTCTTAGTCCGTACTGGTCCTCTTAGTCCGTACGGGTCCTCTTAGTCCGTACTGGTCCTCTTAGTCTGTACTGGCCCTCTTAGTCCGTACTAGTCCTCTTAGTCCATACTGGTCACCTTTGTCCGTACTGGTCCTCTTAGTCCGTACTGGTCCTCTTAGTCCGTACTGGTCCTCTT